TAGCAGCACAATGAATATGGGGGTTCACCCCAAGCCGGGTTAAGAGGTCGAGACCTGACCGGCTCACCCATCCCAAGGTTGACACTAACCTGTAACAGGTGCCTGTAGCAGGCAAGGTGAACAGAAGTGAAATCTGCACAATTTTCCACAATTTTGATCAGCCCACAAAATTTTCTGATTGTCCAGGTGAAACTCCTAACAACCAACAAGGTTTAAGAGAGCTGCCGCAGATCTCATGATGTGAGATCCAAAATGGCCACAAAAAGCATTCATGAAACGTGATTCGTGGGTAACTTGCAAATGTTCACCAGGAAAACAGGTGAACAGAGATGAGTAGGGAACAAATGGAAAAAAACTAACGGAAAAAAATGAATGGAAAAATAAGTTGGCAGAAAAAAACAAACGCTTGTGTTGCATTTGGGAAAACGAATCTAGTGCGAAAAAATCTACTAAACGCGAAGGGATCAATCAAGTTCGGTGAGTGAATGACCTGAAGGTGAAAGGCGAATGCCTGATGGACGGGAGAGTCTCAAAGGCACCTCACGCCACCTGAAGAGAGTGTGCAGCGTCACAAGAGCCCACTGGGAGTGGCAAGCTTAGCCATAAGAAGCACTGGGGATACCAGTGACTGTAGGTTTGTAGAGAACCTAAGGAAAAGGGTAGAAGGAGTAAGGGAAAGGTAGGGGAAGGGGAAAGGGCCTAGACTAGCCCTAATAACCTACAGAAGGTAATCCCTGTGAAAGGATTATCCACAGGCCCAAACACTTCCAAATCCCACAATAGATATAATTACAATAAAATAATTAGAATACAAATATTCAAACATCTACATAACACAAGACAAGCCCATAAATGTGTAGACACACAATATTCTGACCTAACTTGTGATGGAGCAGCAAAGAAAGAGGAAGTGCCTCAGTGGGAGGTGCATGTTATATTCTCTGCCTGTCTCTGATTGGTTCTTTTTTTCCTATGATCTTTGATGCTATGGAATAGTAAAGAAAGTTTATGCAAAATATGAAGCCTGTCATGTAATAAAATTCTAAATATGTGACATCCCATCCACCCTCAAAGTGACCGTGTCATCTAGACGACCCCATATTTAATCAATTTGGAGTTGCAGAGATGACGTGGTCAAATGAGAAAGTGTGTTAACTCATATGTAATTAATAGGCACTTGTTCATTGCCCTATCATGGTTTATCCCTTGATAAACGTGAGTGCTTATATTGTTTAAGTCTCTCTTGATATTCTAGCATTGACCTTGGCCTATATTTGACTTTGTGTATTTCTGGTATCCTGACCCAGCTTGTTATTTTGTTTATCCGTATGTCTTCTATCCTGACCTTGGCTTTTTCTGACTTTGTCTTTATTTTTATTTATGTTTCGTCCGGCCACTCTAAGGCCACTCTAATTTTCCAAGACAGAAGTGTCTGACATCATTTTCCCCCACTGTCTATGGAGCCTTTTAAGGGGCCCAGTATGTCTCTAATCCTTTAGTGGCAATCAGAGTAGGACTGGACTTCATAAGCAAAGTTTTATGAAAAAAATCAGTTTCTGATTTAGTAATACTAACACTGTTGAAAAGAAGATAACTTAATTTGTTTCGAAGGTGGTCTCAAAGCCTGATCAGGTGTCATACACCTTATATTAAACACACATTAGTCTTACACTAAACCTAGTATAGAAAATATACAATCTAAAAGAAAATATAATAAAATAGTGTAGAACTGTAGGCTAAGTGGAACGCTGGTGATATTGCACTCACAAGATATAACTTGATTGTAGGCTCATAATGGTGTCTTTAAAAGATGTGGCCTTTAAGGGTTCTATCTTGTATCAAATTTACATGGAAAAGAGAGGGAGAAAATACAAATATAGTGTGCCAGTTTAAAATTGAAATCACCTTTTATTTATATTGCACTTACGAGAAAGATTAAAAATATGAGCACATCAACACTCCCATTCCTCCATGGACCAGAAAAACGAACACAAATCTCTCCAGAATGGACCTCGGAAGAAGGCAGCAAGTACTCCAATGTACACAATAAACACAATAAAAAACATTACTGGTATAGAGTCACTATGTCGATCTCCAAGTCCTACGTGTTTCGTCCTAGGTTAGGACTTCCTCAGGGGCATCTATTGGTGTCAATACTAAACCTAGTAGTCTTTTTTCTACCAAAAAAAAAGAAAAGTGACATACCTTTAAGACAAACTAATAATTTTATCAGCTGTAGCATCAACCATATGAAAGTGTATATGTGCTAACGTGCTACAAACAAAAGTGCACATTATTAAAGTGCAATGTACCCAATTCAAATTCAATGTATAATGTGCAACACTGCAAAATACAAAAAAGAATAAAGTGCTAACAATATTGTGCAAATTTGCAATCTAGCACTTTACTTACATATATATATTTCTCCAATATATTAGATAGGTTGATATGCTTCCAGGCAATTTCATACAGCATATGCCATGTGAGAAAAAAATCACACACAAAAATAGGGTAATACTGATGATAATAAATAATGTTTCAAAAATATGAATATTACTCACTAGTGTAGAGCAGTTGAAGTCTGCTCTTACTGTATAAGCCTCCACCTTATATGCAATGAAGGTGTAGATACTGGAATACACTTGTAGAAACCTTTATTTCAAGCTGATTAAAATAGGTAGGTAAACCCTCTTTTGTTTTTTTACCCCTTTGGTTAAGGTTCTCTTATGGTCCTCTGTTCAAAATCTGGCTTCTAATGAACGAGGGAACCAGGTACTCTTCCATGGGTGGGGCTTCCAACCGCCGTGATGAAGTTGGACGTGATGGCGCATTTCACCAACATCTTGACTTCTCAGATCTTTCCCTGTAAAGGCAGTTTTTACATTAAAAAGCCTGCAGGGACAGGCAATAGACATCAGGACAACTCCATTAAGCTGTAGTTGTTCAAGTTTATAATGGCCCTTATAACAGATTCTTCTGTACAAAAGTAAAAAATAAAAAAAAAACACAAAATAAAAACATTGCCAATATTATTCTTCATGTGTCTTGCACCAGACAGTCACATTATTCTAAAGACTAAATATACTGACCACAGGAATATCTTTTATTGAATTTTTCTGATTTATGGTCTTTTCTGAAATCATATAATAATTAAACTGTGCTGTTATACTTTTCCATTATTTTCTTTTAATATTAAATGCTAGAGGTGACACACAGATGTAAAAAGCCTGAGTAGTCTTTCCTCGGCTCAATGTGATTTAGTAAAACATTGTTGTTTTGCCAGTACATTTGCAAGTAAAAAAAAAAGGCTAATCACTATTTAAACAGAAAGATTAATTGCATAATGATACCATCTGCTTTTTAAATCCTTTTCCAAATTCCAAAATGATTTACGTTATTTTCCTCTGATTCAAAGTTTTTGTTTAAGATGGTGTAATTACATACCATATTCATTTTATCTGGGTTATCAAATCGAAACAACACCCATTTAAGTAGTTTAGTTGTATGTTTCAGCAGCAGTTAGATATTTTCTACTCTTTGCAACAGACAGTGTGATTTACAAAGAGGGAAAATCTTGTTTAAGGCCTACAGAGACTCAGCAAAAGTATTAGGTAGGAAGATAATCTGAAGATGAGTAGTAGGTCCTGTTATTTATAGTTGCAAAAGTAATATGAGCTTTATAAAAGACAGAGCCATTTACAAAACAGACAATCGATTTGCTAGATTCTGAGAAAATCTCGGGGATTTTACTATAATTGCAATCTGAATATTTACTTAGTACTATTGGAATAAATGTATGAATTGCAACAAATGTGCTCATGTCAGCTAGTATGTGGAGGAGTCCAGTATGCAGTGTAATTAACCAATCCAGCAAGACAACTAACAGTGAAGTTCATTGATGAGAGACAGAACTTATTGAGTCCAAAATCCAAACAAAAGGCTGTCCAGAGGTTGGTCTAGATGGCAAGGATTCTGAGTTGGTCCGCAGTCATGTGTACCATGTATCACTCTGAGCTGGCTGGCAGGTGGAATGATGCTGTGCATAATCAAATTTTGTTTGAAAATTACTATGCCACAGATGACTACAAGCATCATGGATGGGAAGACAGAGTGAGCAGTTCCTTTTTCAGACCAAGTGAGTAGCATCTCCAACAGGATGTGCCATGACATCTCGTGTCTCCCCCTAAAGCCACAACTCTAGAGACATCCTAGGAAACTGTATTTGTAGATGGGCACTTGGCCAAGACATGAACATTTTTTGATAGATTCCCAGGAAAACCCTTACTGCTGTACCCCTTTCAACAAATAATGTATTCAGTAGTGCCCTTTTGCCAACTGAAATTGAATATATACCATATGGAGCTGTGTTTTGTTTAATAATGGGACAGGCACATAACCAGTCACCCTTATTGGCCAGTCCACCATTGTGTCCCATGGTATTGGGTTGATCTCAGGGGGCAACTCCACTATATAATCTGTGTTAAGATCGGAGTTTGGCTTTCAAGGAAAAGCCAGTGGTTACAGGAGTTAGTGTTTTTTTTTTTTTTTTTTTAAGTGAACATAAGTGTGTACATCCTTTCACATTATTGGCCACCAAAACATTTGGCATACCATTGTTTGGGTTTTTTCTGACATGACCAAACTTGGAAGAGACAGATGCACTATTTCTGGTCAAGGGGATTTTGATTTTGATACATGCAAACTCTTTCAGGTGCTTTGGGCATGAAGGAGTCTGTGGTGAGTAAATGGACATCATTAGGGCAATAAAGGCTTTTGCAATCTCTGCAAGCTCCCTTGGACAGTGTCAGTCAAAAAGTTATATTGGTAAAACATAATCACATATAAGAAACAAGAATTATCCACAAAGTCTAAGGAAACTGGTTAAACAGAGTTATATTTAAAAAGGTTACTCCTCTCCTAAAGCTTCCTACAATACTTTCTCAGAAAGCCAAAGACAAAGGTCAGATATTTAAACGTTTGATTTTCTATTTAGGTTTAGTGTTGCAACTTTCAATTCAATCTGTGGTCACAAACATGAAGAAATAACACAGAACCCGATAAAATATCACTTTCTAAGGTGGGAGACACTAGTCTTCTCGCTATGCTGGTAATGATAATAACATGAAATTACGCAGGCTGCACTGAAAGAATACCTAAGCAACACACATAACCCCTGCAAGGCAGCTTTCAACCAATAGGTAGGATTTCCCATATCAAACAAGCCAAAATACTTAGATGGTATCTAGGCAGGGCTGTGACATGGACTATTACAACATGATGCATTGTCCTTCTTATTTCATCTAAGTATATTATTATATGTGTACATCCCCTATTATAGCACAATGGTACAGCATTGACGGACAAAATAAAATTTTCTAAAGAGTAATTTTCTGAGTATTTTGTCCCACTTTCTGATGCTTCTAGTAAATGTGCCAATGTTACATTATCAAGTGGTTCACTGCTCCGTGAAACATTAGTTGTATTAAAAGGTCTGTTGCAATGAAGCATACAAAGGCCAACAGTATTCACTTATCCTATTATGTTATTATTTATAAGATGATGTGCAGTGCACCTGTGTTTGTGCAGATAGACAATCTATTGTCTCTAAAAAGAGAGAGAGGGAGAGAAAGATAAACAGATACTGTCTATTTAAGATCCAAAAGACAAGCTTGCATAACAGAGTGTATGTTTTTGACACTTTAAAAGCCATGTGTAGTGTAAAGTATTTTGCATTGGCGATCGTTTTTGCAAACTATAACTACACCTAAATCAAACTGTTTATTTCTTAAACTTGGATTGATGGTTTTTTTCTTCTTTTTTTTCTTTTGTGCAGGTAGGTACAGAATATCCACAACAGCATATATCAACATATACAGTGGGACCTCGGTTTACATAATTTTCGGTTTACAAATGAAAATCCATGGAAAATAATGCCTCGGTTTACAAAATTTTTTCGCAATACAAAGCAAGTTTCCCCAGGATGCATTGCACCTGGGAGGTCTACAGCACCGCCCCCTGCATGCTAGAGCCTGTGGGTAGCACGTGGTGTTGAGTGTGGAGGTGTTGGAGCGGCTTTTGCATCGAGTTTTGGAGCCTTTCTGGAAATTGTTTTCAGTTATTTAGGGACCTTTTGGAGCATTTCTTAAGCTGTGGAAAGGTAGGGAGCCAAGCTTTGTCATTTGCATGCCTTTTATTGTGTGTTCTGCATTGTGGGTTGGTTCCCATGACAGCTCATTTTGACTTTTTTCTCACCTCCAAAATGGATTTATTGTTTTTCAATGCATTCCTATGTGAAAGGGGTTCCTATGTGATTTACAAATGTTTCGCAAAAAGAAACGTCCCGGAGAACGCATTAAATTCGTAAACCGAGGTCCCACTGTATGAGAGCTCGACAGTGGCATGAGTAATCGCACATTTTTTTTATACATAAACAAGTTTCAACAGCTATTGCTAGCATGACATTCAACATTTAACGGTAGTCGTTTGGCTTATCAGGGCATAGCGCATTTTATATTTTAAGGTAATGTATTTGCATCAATGGTTACACCGCATGTCAGTTACCAGTTATGGCAGACGAGGTAATAATTCAGATTTACACACTGACATTCATAGTAAACTGTAAGGTTTCCAGCTTAGCAAAGCAGAGTGCCACCAGGCAGAGCATCACACATTCCACTATCTCCGTCAATAGGTAGGAAGCTTAAACAAAATTAACTATAGATAATATAATAAACAGAAGATATGCATGCTAATCAAAAATTGCAGCTACAGTGATATCTGGTGAGGCCTATCCGTGGCATGCTATACGGTGTGCTTCTTAGTGTGACGGCTGGGATCACCGCCAGCTCCAACCAAGCGCAAAGTAAGAGGTAGTGGGAATGCAGTCCATGCCTAGGCATTGGGAGAGTCCCTGTAGATTACCCCAAGAGATCCACTGGGTTCCAAAGTCCTGCCATAGCTTCCTGGTTGCTGGGTGAGTTTAGGTGCCTTGCCTAACAAGCCTACTCAGTCGTGGGCTATAGCACCATGCGATCGGTGGATGGGGATGATTTTCCCATTTGTTCTCCCAGTACTGATCGTTGGTGAGGCATGCTTGGTTGAAGGTGGCCCAGAGTGTGCTTTAGGAGATTGCCGCTGTGACATGGGCAGGTGAAGGAAATGCAGGCTGTAATGGTTCCCGCCTGTCATTGAGCGTGTTCCAGGGTTGTTGCGTGGGGGATCGAACGCCCTCGAGGACCTCCCGTGGTGGCAGCTCATGCTGTGTAGTACTGTATCACTGTATCGACATGCCTCAGAGGGATCACTTTCTCGGCCAGTGAAGTTGCAGCGCTGCCGTCGGACATTTTGGTGAGACCGCATGGGAGCCTTCCTCCAACAGCTTTGGGCCGCCCAGGTGAGATGCACAGGTGGTAGCCTGTCTGGTGGGGGCCGAGGTAACCCCCACTGGTTCAAAGGGGGGGGAGGGTTAGATGGGACCAAGAAAGCACCAGGTGAGTGGAAGTTTGCATTAGTCGGGACAGAAAGTGAGGCAGTGGCCGTTTGTCCCGCTCTCCTCCCAGGGTGATACGAGGGTAGGGTGGGTAGTCACCCAAAATTAGTTTGTTCCCTCTGGAGCCCTAGTGACTTGCAGCCTCCTGGCATGGCTGCCCAGCACCGCCCCCAGTCTTCTTTTTTTAAATGTTTTCAATATTCTTTTTGTTTTCCAATTTGATGATTTTCACATGAGTATTTTTTTTATCTAGCTGATACTTTAATGTAGGCGATGTATTGATATTAGATTTTAATGTTTCTGTTATCCCCCTCTGCATTTGCAGTCTTTCCCTTTGGTATTGTGCAACAAATTCCAACAAATTATTTAATCATATATCTAATAAGTCCAAACATTTTCCAGAATGTAAGATTATCATATTTCTTAATCAAAATGCAATCCTGTACATAGCATTTGCCCAATGTTTCTAAATACTATATGAGTAGGTTCATATATACATAACCAATACCACATGTAAATATGGTGTAATTAGTCTTTGGGTCACATGCTATGCATTCAGTGCTCACAACTTCAAGAAGATCAAAGTTCTATATTACCATGCCAGCAGCCAAGGTGTTGTATTCTGGGTACCAGTAGAGAGCTGTTTTTTTGGTAAACAACTAAAAAACTGTTTAACAAATAGTGGGGCACTGGGTCTTCTTAGAGTGCTTTAAATTGTATGTTATTTAATACATTTTACGGTTGGTTATTTAGCAATATACGGTTACTCCAAGCACCATGAGAACTTTAGTGAGTTGATGTGGTCATGGTAACTGAAGTTGAATGCGCAGTGTTTCACTTTGAAACGCTGCACATATGGAGTCTGACCCCTTCATTGCCTTCCAGGCAGGCTAATGTCAATTCTGTGCCAATTCTGGGATGCTCTCAGTCAGTGAATGTTGATGGCTGTGGCTACCCTGATACTGGGAAACCGGGCCAGTGACCTACTGGCATTATAATCACTAGAGCGGACTGTAGTGTTTATGATGCTTATAGTAACCCTTTAAATCATAAAAGTCAATTAATATTAACAGTATTACTGAAACACAAGTAGACTGAATTAGACATATTGTTTTAGATTTAATCTCCTATATTACAAATGGAAATATTGTTTAAAAACAAAGGTTTTTTTTCTATCACCAAAGTATAAAACACATCTGCCAAATTCAATATTAGACAATAAAACAACACAAGTGAGAACGTCTTTAGAACACTGCTTTAATAGTACAAGGTCATCTTTAGTTTGTCATAATATTTATTGGAATGCACGAAATTTCAATAAAGAGGGAAAAAAAGCTTTTGAAATAAGAATGTGCGAGAGCTGTAAAGTCCATATTCAAAACAGTTTGCAGATACTCAATACTTTAATAAGAACAATGCAAAAAGGAATAAGTATACAAGATTCTTTAAGTAAAGAAATACTCTCAATAAAGGAACACTCGAAGATTGGTTAATTCTCAGAAAAGTAGACTATTCAATGTGCAAAAATGCAGCTTCCTTAATGACAAAATATAGCTTGGCTGCTAATAAAAATGAAATACAAATATTCAGCAATATTTTTTAAACCCTAAGGTTGAATTTTTATTATTTTATAGCACATAGAAACTCTAGAGGCAAAAGAGTTAAGTGCAAAAGCAAGTAATAAAAGAGTGAATTGAGTATGCTAATATAATGCACATGTATTATAAATGCATAGAATTTGACAGATTCACAAATTGCTTTTAAGAAAAAAATCTATAATCTAAACATTGAAGCTAGCTACAGTAAAAGGAAGCTTTTTTTAGGAAAGTTCTAATTTAGAATAATTTAAAACGTATCTCACTTTTCATATCAAATACATTTCCAGTTTTCTTGACTGAATTAGTCTTTACCTTAATTTAAAAAAATGTGCAGTTGCATTATGTAAAAATTCAGATTTTGTCTAACACATTAATGTCCATTTATGTAAACAACGGCTTGAAATGAGATAATTACACATTGTCGTGCACACTGTGATTTGCGCATTTCCACAAAGTGTAATATATACAAAAATGATAGCACACTAAAAAAAATCTGTTTGAAAATAAAAGGATAGCCATGTGTGATGCATTGTATTTTGTTACTTGCAATCCCTCCAATTTGGATCCGCCACAAAACATAAAAACTGTCACACATAACAGTGCCCCATTAGTGATATTTAAAGAACATTAGGGAGTAACAACTGTGTAAATACAATGTGATGATGTTGTATCCTTGGTAAAATGTTTATATTAGGTTTTCAGTGCAAAAATAACTAAAAGTCTCAGGAAAGACAATCCAAAAGCATAGCGTCAGGTAGGCATTAACAAAGGTCATAGACAAACAAGTAGTCAGAGACAGATGCACAGATAGACACATAGGGTCAAAAGCTAAAAATCAGCTAATTAGGAAAAAATTTCCAATGTAACCCAAATTTTCAAACTCAGTTTTCTGTTGGCCACAATTCACTGTCTAATGCCAAATGATGTTGTTGAGAGTTTTATTTTGGCAACGGAAATGGACATACATCTTAGGATCCCATCCAATTTCTGTATTCCTATCGAAAACTGGCCAGATTTTATTGAGAATTTCCACTGATGGTTTATCTGGCTTGTAAGTATAATCTAGTGATAAAACAGTTTAACAGGTTTAACGGATCTATTATAGAGTCCATGCAAATATGAACTATCTCATGGGAAACACTGTACAATAAAGGGAGATTAAAACAGGTGGGTCTGGAATCTGGATTCTGTGACCAGAGATACTGCATGTTTATCTATGGTAAGGGAATAAATGTCACATAGCTTTCAAATTAAGGCTACCTATTCATTTAATAAAGTTAAGCATATCTTCAGTCTACACAGAACAAATGACCATGCAACTGAAGGGTCATTCAACAATTGCAGAATCTGGAAGGTTGGTAACATATATCTTGGGTTTACAGTATTCAAACCTGCTATAGTTACTCTTTTTTTTTATCTGTTGCTTTTTGTCCACCAGAATCTTGAATGTCAGTAATTCAGTCCATGTAGTGGGCAACCTTTATGGAAAAGTTAGTTGGTAAGCCACGTTTTTGTATTAGTTGCTAGTGGACCATGTGGAAACAGGTACATATCTGATACATCTCTTTTCAGTCTTTAACTTAAAAACGTGTGTCCATTAAATATTTTACAATGAACCACAACTGGTACAACTACTGTCAATACTTGATTAACAAATAAATCCACAATTTCCTGTGCAATCTTTTTTTTTGGGGGGGTGGGGAGGGAGGATTCCTTAATGTGAAATACTCCGTAACATAATTGGTCACATCTTCACACAACCAGCAAGGTGGTAGACTTTCTTTTTTTTTTAGGGGGGCGTGGGGACACCCAGTGATTTATGAAGTATCAGTTGCCATAAAAAGTACTGTATACTATTTTGACCATTTACTTGCCACATTAAATAACCATGTGGTTTAAAAGTAATGCATTTTGTATAATAACCTATCTGTGTTCACTGATTCACAAATATTGAAATAAATTGGCACCCACATGAAGACTAAAAACTATTTGCTCATTGGCTCATGTCAACAATAAATTACATCACAGAAAACAATTTAGAAAGAACCCACCAATATAAATCTTACCCCCTCTAATTAATGTAAAGTATTTCTGTCTGACTCTTTTGGTGGCCAATCAAAACCCATATCTAACAATGTCGGAATAAGAGAGGGTGAATTATCTAACAAAGAAGAAACCTGAACTCATACAGCAACACATATCTAAATTAAGCTTCTGCAAACAAGAAGAAAAAAGCTAACAATTAACACCCCCTGCATTGCTTCTTTATTTAGAATCCTTTATGAGTCTAGAGTTAATAAGTGCATCTCCTGAACGTGACAAGCCAAATGTACTCTGTGGTAATGATACAGACCTGGTTATGAATAGACTTTGTGCATTGTCTATAAGTTGTCTACCAAAGCCTGTCTCATTATCTGGAGTGCCAATAATGTACATTCACATGTATTATCTACACTACATATACAAATGCAAAAAAAACACAACAGAATTTCTATCTTGTAATACCTTTTTTTATTGGACTAACAAAATGTTTTAATGACAAGTTTTTGGGAGAACCTCCCTTTCTCAAGTCTAAAGCATTTCTGAGCAAAATGACGCATAGAATTCAAAGTTGAGTTATGATACAGGGGTTAAAGCGACATGAGTGCAGATAAGACACAAGTTTGATAGAAAATAGATAACATTCTTGCAGAGGGTCATAAATATCTTGTGTGAAGATCACAGAGTGAGGGGAGAGAGAGAGAGGAAAAACAAGCAAACAGTGCAGAAGATGGTGCTTGAAGGGGAGAGTGAAAACAAAATAATTACTTATATTAAGAATGCATGAATTCCCATCCAAGAGTTACAGGATATGCACAAAGGCCTATATCCAGCATACACAGACACACACACACTCACACATGTACATATACGTATACATTAGTAGTGTATATGTACAAGTATACACAAGCACATACACAATATACATAAGTACATGCAAAAATATACATATAAATACAACCGATTGCACAAATATATGTGCATGCACACCTATACATGCATCCACACACAAGCACCAATACATGTACCTACACATGTACAAATATGCCTACACATACATAGACCCATATATATGTACATGTACACATACACCTATTCACATATACACACTTGTATGCATATATGTCCACACTTTATACATACACACACACAAATAAAAATATGTATACGCATTCAGATACATGCATGAACACATATACATACACATACATACACACACACACACACACACAAACACATATACATGCATGCACATGAACTCATATACACAAATATAAATGCACAGTCATATATATAAATATACGTGCATAAGGGTAAAGCATAGGTCTATACATAGTACTTTGTGTATTGAGAGCATAAACATATAATTGGAATGCATTTTAAAATGTTGATACATATGACAGAACAGTAAGATAATGATGGGAGGGGGGGGTGTTCATGTAAAGTGTTGATAGTGAGACAGCAAACCCAAATCAATATTTAGTCCTCTATTCTTGCTGTTAAACAATTGGATCATTCTGGTTTCAAAAGTTTTTCTTTCTTGGGTATTTTTAAAAACCCCTTTCAGTACTTAGATTTTAAGGTCCTTGAATGATCCATTTGTTTAACAGCAAGAATAAAGGACTAACTATTGATTTGGGTTTCCTGTCCCACTACCACTATTTTCTTTTTTTTCTTTCTCTCTCCCCCTCACTCTGTAATCTTCACACAAGATATTTACAACCTTCTGCAAGAATGGTGTCTATTTTCTATGAAACCTGTGTCTTTTCTGCACATGTCACTTTACCTCTGTATCACAACTCAACTTAGAATTCTATGTATCGTCTTGCTCAGAAATACTTTAGACTTGAGAAAGGGATGTTCTCCCGAAAGCTTATCATTAAAGGAACACTATAGTCACCTAAATTACTTTAGCTAAATAAAGCAGTTTTAGTGTATAGATCATTCCCCTGCAATTTCACTGCTCAATTCACTGTCATTTAGGAGTTAAATCACTTTGTTTCTGTTTATGCAGCCCTAGCTACACCTCCCCTGGCTATGATTGACAGAGCCTGCATGAACTACATATACAAATAAATACAGCTATGCTACCAAGCTCACCCACTAAAAGCCAATCCCATGAAACATATAAGTAAATGAATTCATGTTATTATTATTGTCTGCTTGTTATCTGCTTATTAGCCAGAAATAAATTGAACTACCTGGAGGCATATTATATTTTATCTGATTGTCAATTTGGAATATTTTTTTTCTAAATTATAATGTCCCTGCCCTATGGTGGGAGCTGATGGCTTTCTATTGAGCTATGAGGAGGACTTAGTGTGACGTAGAGTTTTTTTCTCAATTGCAAAACAAGGCAGCTCTTCTGAGATAAAATAGCTCCGAACACTTAAAACACATATATCCGAAAAAGCACTATTCTACTGGAGAAACAACAAGCACCACTAATAATTTGCCTAATGGTTTTGAAATAAGCTATACAGGTGACAGAACCAAGTTTTTTGTGGCCTAAATTTTGCAACATGCCTGTAATGACATTTCACAATAATGCATTGTTTAGTGAAGAAATCCATAGCGTTTGGGTGTTTTGCCATTTGCTGTTTATCACTGTTTAACCACTGTGTTAAATGTTACTGTGTTTAAGTACAGTAATGTTACTGCAAGCATATTTCTAACTAGAGAAATGTTTCCATTGTTTGTGCAATACATATCTGCTGGTTGTAAATCAAATTAAAAAAAAACATTATCGAGAGGACAGAAGACAAAACTACCAACGAGTGCAATGAGTTCTGTGGACAGCAGTTCCCACCGTGCTCCAATTCTCTTACTAGTGTAAAAAAATATCTTTCCCAAATAAGTGGGTTAATCTTCACGGGAATTAATCCCTATTTGTGGTAACGTAGGGCATTGTCTGGGTTCCTGGTGCCTTAACTTTAAAGGAAATGTTTTTTAAATTTATTTTTATATCTGCTTGTGATACTGTAGCATGGACAAAGACACAATGGGCAAAGGCACACCAGGAGGGGAAGGCACATGAGAAATACCACAATGGTAGTGTAGTAAAATTGGATCAAGACTAAGAGTGACAGTAGGTGGATACAAAGAGAGTGAATAGGGGGGTCAACTGTGAATTGGGGAAGTAAAATGAGTATGGAGGACTGCAAAGGTGTAATGTGGGTAAGGATTAGATTAGATTAAATAGAGATTGGATACATTAAATATGGATAAAATGGATGGATTAAATGATGATAAAGGAAGAAGATGTAATAAGATAATGGGAGTAATAAATGGGGATGGGGGAATAAGTAGTTAAAATTAGGTGGCAAGTAGGTGAAATTGGGACAGTGATGTGGGATGGGGAAATTGTGACTGAGAATTGTTAAAGTGATAATAGGAGGTGAGAGGTAAAATTAAGTTACATATCAGGTTGCAAGACATGGTTCATATTAAATTATTCCCAAAAGGCTGTTTGGTATTCCCAGTCAAGTCCTGTCTCAGTGGTTTGCTATTGTTCTAACTATTCTCCCTTCTTTCCTAAACAGCAATCATTCACAATCAAGGGTTGACTCACCGCCTCTCACCCCATAATCTACTTAAACCTGGCCTGGGCTTGTATGGGCTGTCATTACTTATTTTCTTCATAACAAGAGAATCCTTCTAGCCACTGCTGTAGCCAGTTGTTTGTGCATGACTACGAATGTTTGTGAATAAGTGTTACTGTAAACAAAAGGCTGTCTGCAAGCTTGTCTATGCATAAGTATGTCTGTATATGCATTTATTTGTAAGCATGTCTTTGTGTATAAAGTTGTGTACCTCTGCAAGTGTACAGCATTGTGTAAATTTGTCTGCACATAAGTGTAGTTTTCTCCACCCAAATATTTTGTTAGTGTGTCTGTTTTTGCTTCTGCATGAGTATACTTATTTTTTTCTAGATGTGTTCCTCCACCTATACAGGTGTGTGAATATTTCTAATTTTCTGTACATGAGAGTATACAATTGTGTATGTCTGAATTTGACAGTGCGTGTTTGTATGACTCTGTTTGTGCATGAGTGTGCCTCTGGCTTTTCATAAACATGTCTGTATTTGTGCCTCTGTACATGTGCCCAAGTGTGTCTGTCTCTGTAAAAAAAGTTTGTGTGCCACTGTACCTGATTGTGTCTATTAGTCTGTCACTGTGCATGAGCTATATGTATCTGTGCACAAGTGGGTTTGAATGAAAGTCTCTGCTCATTAGTGTTCAGAAGAATTTCAGTACATATCTCTGTGGCTATGACTCTTTTTATGTGTGTGTTTACATCTGTCTTTGCACATGTGTAATGTTTGTTAGTGTTTGTATAGTTTGCGAATCATGGGTGTGTGTGAGTGTACCTGCCTGCATGAGTGTGTATATGTGTTAGTTGTGTTTGTTACTGTCTCTACATTTGTGTCTGAGAAAGAAAATATCCGGATATGACTTTATGCATAACTGTGCCTGTATATGCATGTTTTTGCATGAGTGCCAAGGGTTGTGTTCAGGGTGCATAACGTTTTTCTTTGGGCTAAGGACCTCATAAAATCCTGAAGCCTATGCCTTTGTCATGAACCAATCTTTGCAAATGCCATTTTGAGAACTCGTATTTATGTACTAAAGAGTATGTAGAAAAGTTAACAAGGACACAAGGGCTAATTCTACAGATATATGAAAAAGGGATTTTAAAAACGTTTCCAACACTTTAAAAATCTCCAGAATTGCAGCAATACAAGCTATCTCTGTTTCTTGGAATACATCTAGTATTCTACTGTTAATACTGCACGGTGCTTCTACATGGTCTTAGCCCAGCTAAATGACCACATTGAATGCCCACAGTAAAACTATCGATTTTTTTTTTCTCTGCCATTTTTGTACTCTAATGGAAAGGTGAGCCAGGTTTTGGATGAACTAAGAATTATTTTACATGGGGCATACTCACTAATCAAACATTTTGGGTGAAAGGAATTCTAACTTGCAAAATGTGAGCCAAAATAGCTGTGATTAGATTTTTCTTCCACTTTTTCCTTAATCAAAACATGGCTTTAGGGCCTACCACTTACAGCTTTGTATTCAGTTCAATTCACTTACAGCTTTGTATTCAGTTCAATTCAGTTCAACAATTAACACTTTAGTGAATAAAACCCTTTGACGTAATTTTATTACCAGTTGAAATGTTTGTATGTTTTTTTCACATGGTAATATATTTCTTAACTTGACTTTTAATCAGACAAAAAGAAAAATAGCCACTAATTAATTTCCAGCCTAGGGTCTTGACGAGATGGCAGCTATCCAGGACAAATATAGTTATGATAATTACATAAAATATACAATTTACAATATTAATCTTTCATACACACATATACATGTATGTGATAACAGTGCACCTAAACAATTTGTAATGTTATAGTGTTATACAAACATGCAAATATCTAGTGCTAATGATAAAAAAAAAGAGACAAGCATAGACACACGTGTGGCATAAGTGCTATTGTTTAGTAAATAATTACCTGACCCCATGGTACACTCTGATTGCCGCCTATGTCCCTTTTTCAGGTGACTTCGCACACTACAGCTTAAAGGAATGATTTACAGTAAATATGATTTTATTTAAGTGGCGTTTCACCTTTAAATAAAAGTTAGCTTTAAATCATGCTTACTGATGCACTGATTATCAATGGATTATTATTGACTATTTAACAGAATGTGAGGCATAATGCAATATTTCATTTGAATGCACATTTTTAAGCAGCGTCTTCTTAAATATAAGATAGCATGACAGCATTTTTACCACATTACTTAATACTAAACATGGGGATCTTAAGCATATAGAAATGGCTACTTCATGCAGGAACTAGCCAGTTAAACGTTTACAGATAGGAAACTGTGTGCTGTGATTATTTGACAATAAAGTATCTCCAGTAAAAATGTAAGTGCCTGTAAATGTATGACCACATGTTCATTATAAGGTTATGTGGAACGCATGCATGTCTTATGATACTGTTCTTTTGAAAGCTGAATGGGACAGCAAAAGAGTAATGAAAATTTAGACATGCCAGTCGTCTGCGCCTGGAGAACACCATTCATGTTAGTATAACCTTCTCAATGAGTTGGCCTGCTTTCAGGTAAAGAGAGTACAAATGGGAAAAGGACCCCTTTCGCCTCTTCTGGTGAGACAAAGACTTCTGGTTCACAACTTGTCATTTCTCCTCCCGATCCATCAGGGGGGAGTGGTACTCGTAGGGCACTGGCCCGGTTTACACAGTAGATGCTGCTTCCCATTACAGTGCAACGGAAAGGGATACTGGGTGGTGGTGGTCCTGGGCCAGGGCGAAGTAGGCTAACACCTTCACTCCAGTGCCTTGCCATGGAATTGTATGTGAAGACACTAAGCCCATGTTCACGGCTAACATCAAACCTATAGAGACAGCTTCTGTGGGACACCATGCCAGCAGAGCGTCGACGGCTATTGTTGTAAGGACATTCCTGCCACTCATCTCGTTTTGGATCATATTTAAGAAGTCGGTAGAAGAGAGTCCCCCCAGAAACATAAATCTCTCCATTACATGTAGTGGCTTCATGTGCCACAGCAAATGCTCCCTTTGGTAATGGAGCCACAGAGCTCCAGCGATCCATGCGTGGATCATACTTTTCTACAGTAAAGAGGCACTCTCCACCAATAGCGTATAAGTAACCATCAAGGGCCAGAAGCTTGAGTTGGGAACGAGGTTGTGAGAGAGGACGTAATTTATCCCATGAGTCAGTTAACGGGTTGTAACAAAATACCTGGTCAGAAAGTCTGGCCTTATCACCATTACCTTTGATGCCACCAGCAATAAACAAGTAGTTATAAAGCACACAAACCCCACATCCCTTGGTGTTAGCTTCCTCTGGCAATCTAGTCAGTGACTTCCAGCATCTAGTAGAGTCATTGTAGCAATGTACCGCATAACTTGTTGCATCCTCCTCCAAGGAAAAAACAGAGGAGGGGCTCTGTGGTCTACTGCTCTCCCTACTTTGAGGTCTACTACTACTAGTCATGCGTTCAAAAGCATCATTGATTTCTGCCACCACCAAGTACTGCTTTCCATCCATCCTGCGTTGCAGTATCAGATCCCTCTCTGCTCCTGTGAGCTTCCCATAGACTGTTGGGTCCCTCAGTACCTGGAGGAAATGGTCACTCATGAACTTATATGTTGCCTCCTTTAGTTCATTCAGTCTCTGTTTCTTAGCAATATAGAGAACCTGATAACAGTTCTTAAGTGATATTTGTGCTTTCATGCTGTCCATAGCACATTGCACAGCACAGGGTATTTGTAGAAACTTTGCACCACTGATTACCTCAACTACATTGTCCAGTTTTACTTCCAGCTCTGAGCTATAAATGTAATCAACGAGCAGCTGAAGAGTTTGGTAACTCAAGCCCTTTATTTTTAAGATATCCCTTGATGATCGTGCCCTGAAATAGTCACTTTTTTCAGCGAGCACTCCCTTATGCGCACTTATCCTTTGTCCACCAGTCACTTCAATCACTAGATCAGGTTTTCCTTGGGGCAGAGGGGTCCTTATTGTCTCTTCATGATCACTGTCCTTTTGTGCCTCTATTTCAGACTGCTGACTATAATCACCTATGCTGGTTTCCTCTGTATCATCTTCTGATTCTGATGTAGCATTGTTCATGTCCCACCGACTTCTCACCATTCCTCGCTCACTTAATGGGTCAGAGCATGATCTCTCTTCAGCATCACTGATGAAGCCCTTGACAGAACTTCTCTCGTCTCCAGGGGATTGCATGACTGGGTCACATTTCCCACTTTGTACACTGTAACCCCCATTACTCTCTGTATGATTACTGCTATCCAGTGAGTTGTTCTGAAGTGGTGCTTCTGCTTGACTTCCAGTTGGAGCTGGTTCCTCAAATTCACATGTCTTTTTAGTAAAAGTCAAAGTTCGTCCCTCATTCATACTCACATCACCTTGATAGGGTGTAATTGACACTGAGTTCTCCATGGTTCAGAAGGATGCAATCGCATAACCTAACTTGTGTTACTTTCTCCTGTAGTTTCACTTCTGTTTCCTTGGCATGTCACCAATTTGGGTTTGTTTTCAACACTGAGCCTTTCAGGCACTGCTGATCTTCCTGAGGACGGTGGGGTGTGTCAGATTTGCAGCAGTTACACATTAAGACTCAACTACTGAACTTTGAAATATTTCAGCCCTCTAGCACTTACTTGCTCATTAAGATTTTTTTTTATGACTGTTGTCCAGTTCTGATTATGAAGATTGCACTTTGCCCATTTGCTCAATTAAATATTTCATACGTAGCAGTTAAAATTAAAGGCGAAAAAAGAAAAACTTTCCCTGTTTGCAGTTCACGTTAGAACATGTACTGTGCTGCAACAGCCATGAGTCAGCTTTAATCCATACTGGTGAAATGTAAATGTGCTCACTTAATAATATGCCTGGGATCCTGGTCAAGGAAATAACAGTACTGCAAAAGCGCACATTCCGTTTTTTTAATATTAGACCAATCTAGTCTAAGAGACAGATACTGCTGAGCTTTTAATGCTTACTTCTCCGAATTATGAGACATTTTGCTCCCTTTTTAAAGTTGGATTGGTATGTGATTATGTTGTCCTGATAGTTATAATTCTCTCCAGATGTATTGAAGCTTTCCTTAATATGTCAGTGAGTTCACCTTTTGAGTTTGAATTCCCTGTAGAGTTAAAGAACTTCCTGTCCAATCATACTTGCACCATAATCTGATTATTTAATATGATGTTCCGGGCATTATGTTCTGTTATTGTTTAAATACCATCCACAGGATAGTCACCAAGTTCTGAAAGAAAATGAAAAACATAACCAGCATTATTATGATAAAAAAAAAATTCAAACCGATACATTATAATATGCATAAAACAGCCTGACAATTTTATGAATGGGTAGCAGTATCTGTGAGTATATGTACCGGCCTCCGTGATGGCTGTGAGCTCAATACTAGTCAAACTCATTTTATTTTGAAGAACCATTTATTAATTACATGAATCATATACATATGACCATACATACATATACAAATGAACCATAACTAGGTTCTGGTGAAAGCTTAAAGGGTCACTACAGTCACCAAAACAACTTTAGCTTAAAGGGACACTATAGTCACCTGAACAACTTCAGCTTAATGAGGTTGTTCAGGTGAGAACTATAGCTCCCTGCAGCCTTTCTCATGTAAACACTGTATTTTCTGTAAATACCGTGTTTGCATTGAAAGCTAGGAACACCTCCAGTTGCAGTCACTCAGAGTGAACCAGAGGGACTTCTGAGTTGATGGAGGCATAATATGCCTCCATCCACTCAGATCTGCTGTGCACAAGCATCCTGTGATTCAGTATCTCCTCCACTGAATGCAGACACTGAACTTTTCTCATAGAGATTAATTGATTCAATCCATCTCTATGAGGAGATGCTGATTGGCCAGGGCTGTGTTTGAATCATGCTGGCTCTGCCCCTGATCTACCCCCTTGTCAGTCTCAGGCAATCCTATGGAGAAGCACTGTGATTGGATCAGGCTATCACATATCAGCAGACTGCTTGTTTTTCCTGAGTCTAACAGCATGCAGATTTACAGCTTCTGGCTTGAATACAGTAAGATTTTTACTATATTTATGGCGGCATGAGGAGCCCAGGGGGGCTAGATGGTCGTGTTAACACTATAGGGTCAGGAATACATGTAGTTGCACTGGTGACTATAGTGTCCCTTTAATGAAGCAGATTTGATGTATAAATTACGCTCCTGCAGTCTCACTGCTCAATTATCTGCAATTTAGGAGCTAAATAACTTTTTATTTGCAGCCACACCTCCCTGCATGTGATTTGCATAGCTATCCTAAACACTTGCTGTAAATAATCATCTAATATTTACACTTCCTTTATTTCAAATTCTGTTTAATTTAGAATATCATATCTCCTGCTCTGTTAATAGCTTGCTAGATCCTGCAGGAGCATCCTGTGTGTAATTAAGGTTAAATTTACAGAGCAGGAGATAAAAACGTTTAAAGTAAGGAAACCATTTTGTTTGGCTAGGGCTGCATAAACAGAAACAAAAGTGGTTTAACTCCTAAATGGTAGAGAATGGCAGTGAGACATCGAAGGCATGATTGATACACACACTGCTTCATTAAGGTAAACTTGTTTTGGTGACTATATTATCTCTTTAAATTAAATCTCTAGACCGGGGATATGAAATCTTTGGCAGTCCAGATGTTTTGGACTTCATCCCCCATAATGCTCTAACACCCATATTGCTGGCACAGCATCATGGGAGGTGTAGTTCAAAACATCTGGAGTGCCAAAGGTTGCCTATGCCTGCTCTAGACCCATTGTAATGGTTAAGGTGCCAGGAATGTCCTGGTTGTTCGAGTCCTGGCTGTTTGCTAATGGTTTGACTACTCACTTGGGGCTCACCTGGCACCGTTCTGTGACTCAATAAAAACCAGAGAGCTCTCCGCTCAAAGCTAAGTCCAGTGAGGCAGAGTTTAGCTCATTGGCTGTGGGCAACCAAGCAGGAGCTTCCAGCTCTAAATCCAAGAAAGGAAGAACAGGGAGCAGCTACCAATGGACCCCATGTAAGAAGCACCATAATCACTACAAGACACTTGCATATATATATACATAAATGCACCTTTTACATGTATTCACACACACTTCCTTTATAAACAGATATATTATCCTTTCACAGGTAGATGCACATTTTACCTATATGTGCATACATATACTATACCTAACTCATCCACATAAACATATATTTAACAATACACTGTCATATACATGAAAATTCACACTTTACCTTATACATACATACATACGTTTATTATACCTTTTTTGGAGGGACATTTTTTCTATGCAAACATCCCACGTACATAAGTCTCTATATTTTACTATAAGCCACATGTGGTTTTTTTTTATCTCTCAGTTATGCCTAATCTATAATCATATATCCCAGTCCTTTGGACACTCCTTGCCCCTTATTTTTATCTTCCTCCTTTTCTTTCTCAAACTCCTAATTTGTTATGTTCAATTTCATTTACCTAATTATTTTTTTAGTTTAGATTTTTGTTCCTTTTCCACCCATATTTCATAAGAATTTTTAATTAACCAGTGATTCTGGCGATGGTATCAACACACAAAAAATGAAACAGAATTGCATTAAATTTAAAAGAGCATTTGTATATGTTGTAATAACATTTATTTTGTTTATATGGCATTTCCATTTGTGCCTTTACCTGTGATGCATTGTAACTCTTTTTGCATACTTATTTTTGCAAGGAGTGTTTCTTGTAGAAAAATTACCTTTCATAACTCCTGTTTTTTACATATGATCTTTTTTTTCATAACTAAAAAAACATGCGCTTGTATTTTATTCATGATGTTTAATCCCTTAATGTTTATTATTGGAAGCCTCAGGCAAGTTCTTATTTTGATCATCCTTTTCCAGAGAAGCACAATTCTTTGCCATATGTTTCCATCTCCCACCTCCTGTGATTTTACAAGAATGCCTAAATTAGCACAGAAATATTATATTCACGTTTGATTTCCCTCTCTGTGCAAAGAAAATGTAATATTCTAGTTCTCTAGAAAATATTTAGCCACAGACATACACTATAAAATAGGTAAATTATTTTATGGAAAACCCTTGAAATACTGAGATATGTTAACACTGTAAATAAGAAACACAATACAAAAAAAGATGATATAAAGTAACCTCTCAAATAGCCCTCTGCCTTATTTATTGCACCAGAAAAAATGGATGGTTAGTACAGGTTGTAACTCCTCTATGCTTGTAACCACAGCAATTTCATTCCAACACATTACTGCTTTAAACGTTTTTGATAATGCTTTAATGTTTAGTTGTTTTTACATGCTTTAAAGTGTCGAAACACGTTTTTTTTAGGCACGTGCATATTATGTCATATTCTGGCTCCCAATATCAGTAAACGGCGAGCAAGGGAGCAGAGCCGAGAGATTACAGCTCCCTCGCCGCCTCGGATGGTAAGCCGCCCGTCGGGGGGGTCTCTATTAGCTGGCCAGCAGGTCAGCTCTTGGCCCCCCCCATGACAGGGGAATTACAGGGTAACCCTCACTGGGCGTTTGGAGGCGGCATTTTTTCCCGCCCCCTAAATAGTGCCGCCCAAGGCAAATGCCTAGTTTGCTTTGGGCTAAATACATCCCTGCTGCTATTTCTAACTGGATGACTGCTCACTTCCTTAAACCTAACATGTCCAAAAGAGCACTTCTTATCTTTCACGTCTGTCTCCCTCTAAGTCAATGGCACTACCATCAGCTGTACCTCACAGGGTCATTGCCTAGGTGTTCTCTTTGACTCCAACGTCTTATTCGGCCCTCATGTCCAATTTATCTCTAATTCCTGCCACTTCCATCTCAAAAGCAAATTGCATCTGACCCTATTTAATGCCGGATGTGGCTGCAGTGGCGTCTCCAGGATTCATATTTAGGGGGGTACATAAGGGGCCAGGGACAAAAGTAGGGGGGCAGTTATAAAACAAGTAGATAGGTGTATGTGTGTATAATATATATATATTTATATTATACACACATACACACATACATATATATATTATACATACACACACACACACACACACATATACAGGGCTTGACAAATGCCAGGCTAGAGATTTTGCCCTGGCACCTGGCATTTTTTCAACCCTTTGATAAGCCGCGAAGGAAACATTGAAGCCAGCCGTCGTGGGGAGCATGGAGGCGGCGTGCGAGGGAGCTGTAACCTTCCTGCTGTTCCTCTCTGCTCCATTGCACACTGTTCAGTGACATGCTGTCACTCCGGCCCTGGCATCACTACCGAGAGCGCGCAGGAGAGCAGACAGAAACTGCAGGAAGATTGAGAGGAGACACACTGGATGCCAGGAAAAGATCCACTCAGCTCTCCCGCAGGTAGGGAGACTGGGTGGATTTAAATATAAATAAAAATAGCAATTTGTGAGTGTGTGAGAAAATGTATGTGTGTGTGTGTGTGTGTCTTAGAGTGTGTGTGTGTGTCTCAGTCAGAGGGTGTGTCTGTCACTGTATGTCTGTAAGTGTGTGTCTCAGTCAGAGATTGGGGGCAGATCTTGCGTACAGTGAGGCGATCTTCCATGCAGGGGCAGAGCTTGTGTTCGGGGGAAGCTGCTGCACTGTGGCGGAACTAACATAGAGTGGGCCCTGGTGCAAAAACTGTTTTATGGCCCCTGAAGACACATTCCCATGGGATGGCCCTAATTGCATGGGCCACTTGATAGGCCCCGGTGTAACCACAAGACCAACACTGCCTGTAGTTCCACCGGTGCGCCATCTTTATTACAGGCGAGACACTTTTTCACGGAAACTGGAAAATCTTTTCAGGAGATGCAAGATAATTTCCCATGGTGTTTAGAATGGGCTGTTGTGAAGTGTGTGTGTGTACAGGAGGCTGTTTATGGTGTACTATGTGTAACTAGGGGCTGTAGTGTGAGCACAAGCATCAAGTATAGGAGCTTTTGAGATTGTGTGTGTGCTGACAGGGCCTGTAAAGTATGTGCGTGTGCATCTAGGGTCTGCAGTATAAGTGTATGTGTACAATGTTGCATTGTGTGCTTATCAAGGAGCTGTAGTGTGTATGTATGCACGATTCAGTGTGTAATGAGGTGAAGCATGTATGTATGCATGTGTGTGGGGGGGTGAAGGTATGTGGGAAAGAAGTGTGTATGTGGGTGAGAGGTGCACTGTGTGTGTATGCAAAGGTGTACTCTGAGTTAGTGGGGGTGTACTGTATGTGGGGGTTCACTGTC